GCTGAACCCACCGTACCCTGCATCATCCCCAGAGCCCCTCCGGAGAGCAAGCCTTTCTCTCCCCTTGCTCAGCGTGGGTTTTTCTCTCGCTGGCGGTCCCTTACCTCTTGTAAATGCCGGAGGAGTTTTTAATGGCAGCCTTTGAGGCTGCTTCCTAATGCTCACTTATGTACCAGCCTGCCCCACAGTCCTGGCTGCTAGAGAAAAAAGCCATGCTCCGAGTTAGCATCGTGTAAGCTGTCATGAACAAACGAGGTTTGTTAAGATGAAGGAAGGCCTGAAAACTTCAAAACTTCCGATCTAGAAATAATCAATATATACTGCAGAAGGAGCAGTGCCAGCAACCAGAGGGAAAAGAGGAGAAGGGTGTGGAACGGGAGGAAAAAATGATGACCAAGTCAGAGACTGAATAGCTGTGATTTTTCTTTCCATTGCTACACTTTATTTTGATGAAGTGATTGTGTGGGTGAAGGACACACTGGTAGTTGTGTCTGTCTGAGCTATGACAGTAATTTGTAACTTGTTTGCTCCTTTTCTCTCTCTCTCTCTCTCTCTCTGTAAATGGAGAGGAGAGTGCTTATAAAATAACTAGCATAGTGCAAATATTTTTACTGAACAAAAAGGTCGAGAGTTCAAAAAATAATGAAGGACCAGAGTCCTTCTCCACTGCGAGCTCTTGTTTGCTCAGCAGCAGCGCGAGCGGGCTGTGCCGTGGTTTATGGTACTTTCTTAAAGGCTATAAACTGGCCAAGAAATAGTGGGGAAATGGTAAAAATAATGACTCGTGGCGTAAGATTTTACTTGGCGAACTTTGGCATCTCTAGAAATGAACTGTTCTCTAAACGCTACAGATAAAGAATGGCTTTTGTGGGTATGTGATTATACGCTGCAGCGCCATGCAATTTATAAACGGCCTAACTATGGCTGTCTGTGCACAAAGGGGAATAGCTTTAAGTCATCGTTATCTAACCTTAATTAACAGAGTAACGTATGTGCAGGTGGTTTTGTCTATACGAACTCTGCCTTCCTTGTGCTTTCAGGCAAATGTGAATATGTTCTGACATAACAAGAATAACTTCTTTTCAAACGAACGATGTTTATCTGTGCCCTGTGGTGCTTCATTGTACTCGATTCCTCCTCAGTCATTAGCAATTTATTGCTTGCTTCTTCATCAGTCAGGAGCAGTGGGGAGGAAAACCTTTGGGGATGACATACATAAGGATACAGTGGGCATTTACATTTCAGTGCATGATTTAAAACTGTGAAGGCAAGATTAATTATTTACTGCTTGCAGCCCTGCTCCGAGGACATCTAGCCGAGCCCTTTACCAAAGATACTTCGGCAAAGTGTAGTTTATTAATTGGTTTAAAGACCTGTACTTTTTCCAGGCCACCAGCCAATTCAGTGCTTAGCAGATGCATATGTTGTTACTTGGCCTTGATTTGTGTTTCACCAGTGTTTTATCTCCGCTGGATGCTTGCAGTCCACCCTTCAACGGGGATGTATCGCTCAATCCTTAAGGCTAACTCTTTCTTGTTTGTAAGTCTAATGCTTTTCCACCATGGCTCTAACTTTACACTGATGTGTCCAGTCCCTAAGAGCGTAAGTCAGGGTTGAAGGAACTGACGTGAAGCGATTCCTGCTAAGGTCTACAAGGCGTCTGGGACCAATCCGCATGTCCCGCTCCTGGCAGGAGGCACCTCGGGTAGCAGCACGGAGCGGGTGATGAGTCGCAGGCTGGTTCTGGGGGCTACCATACACTCCCTGCTGCCTCTCAACCTGGGGATGCTCACGCAACTACCCTGTTGCCTGTCCCCATTGCATGAGGGGAACGTCTGCCAAGCTACAGATAAGCGGTACAGTAGGAAGTATCATGGAAGCAGTCCTGTACAGCTGTGGGACTTTCTGCTCTCTCTGATCTAGAGGCTGCGTACGTCAGATACTCTGAAGAGCCCATAAAGCTTAGATCTTCCTTAGATCCCCAACCTGGGAGAGCAGTGGGGATTCATGGGGAGTTTATCTGTTTCTACATGGCTGTCTCAGATTGTACGTGTAAAACACACGCTGGATTTGTGAACTGCATGCACATTTTAAGCTTTGTGTGGTTTGAATTTTATAAGGGTTGGGTTTCTTTGTTTTGTCTTCCAAGAGAATTTATTTCCATTCATGTCTGTTGTTTCTTTGTAGATGGTTTGTGGGCAATACGTGTGCAAGTGCCTTAAGTTTCTGCTACAAGATGTGTTCCACAAATCCAGCAAACTGGGTCACCTGATAATCAGAGTGGTTGTAAAGCAAATGGCCTTAAACTGAATCTGTCTAGTGTGCATGAGCCTTCAAGTCGATCATCTTCTACAGGCAGCACTCCACTCTCATCTCCTGTAGTTGACTTCTACCTAAGTCCTGGACCCCCCAGCAACTCTCCACTTACCACACCTACCAGGGACTACCCAGGAAGTCCGTGCATCCCAAAGCCTGGGATTCACATCCTTTATCCCATCCCTGAATGGCCATCAAACGTTAACCTTCTTCCATCACCCAGGGTTTGCTCATCCCCAACCTCGCAGAAACTAAGCAGCCTTCCTTTGAACACCCTGCCTAATAACCATCCAGTTAAGACTTCAGTCTCCAAATCAACAGACGAAGGAAGCCCTAATCCGCCAGGAAGCTGCGAGGAGATAGGAGAGTTGTCGTCAGCACCGGAGCACTTCCCGTACTTCCAGAGCAACTGTGCTTTTTCCAGTCCCTTTTGGAAGGAAGGCTGCTCGCTCAGCACGTCACCAGCTAATGTTGGTGCGCACAGGAAGGACAAAGGGCTGGACAGGAGCTTCTGTCATCCTAAAGACAAAGAAACTTGCCATGATCAGAAAAGCCTTAACCAGGGCTCCTTCAGCTACATCTGTGAGAGGCTTGAACACCTGCAAGCTGATGGCTGTGATGCTGTGGAAAGCCCGCCCGTCTCCAGCGCTCACGCGTGGCATAAGCTCTCCCCCGCCGTCCCACGCAGCCTCTTCAGGAGCCGGAAAGCGGATGGGTGGCCGTTCATGCTGAGGATTCCTGAAAAGAAGAACATGATGTCGTCTCGGCAATGGGGCCCTATTTACCTTAATGTTCTAGCTGGAGGCATACTGCAGATGTATTATGAAAAGGGCCTGGAGAAACCTTTCAGGGAATTCCAGCTGCAGCCACACTGCAAGCTGTCCGAACCCAAATTAGAGAGCTATAATGTCTCGGGAAAAATCCATACCGTGAAGATCGAGTGCGTGACTTACACAGAGAAAAGGAGGTATCATCCCAAAGTAGAAGTGATCCATGAGCCAGAGGTTGAGCAGATGTTAAAGCTGGGCACCACAGATTATAACGACTTCACCGATTTCCTTATAACAGTTGAGGAAGAGCTTATGAAACTTCCTACTGTTTCTAGACAAAAGAGAAATTATGAAGAGCAAGAAATGACTCTGGAAATAGTGGATAACTTTTGGGGAAAAGTCACTAAGGCAGAAGGAAAACTCACAGAAAGTGCTGTCATCACGCACATTTACTGCTTGTGTTTTGTGAACGGAAGTGCCGACTGCTTTCTAACCCTGAATGACCTGGAGCTTCAGAAGAGGGATGAGCATTACTTTGAGAAGGAGGAGGAGAAGAAATGGATTGATATTCTTGATTGCCATTTCCATAACTGTGTCAAAGTGCAGGAATTCGAGCAATCACGAATTATTAAGTTTACACCCCCAGATGCCTATAGGCTGGAACTGATGCGTTTCAGGACACGATATAATCGGCAAGACCTTCCCTTTTCTGTGAAGGCTATGGTAGTGGTTCAGGGGGCATATGTTGAACTTCAGGCTTTTATAAACATGTCTTCAACTGCTCCGATCCCAACACGTTTACCTTCTGTGAAATACTGTGAGAACGTTATGATACGCTTTCCCGTTCCCACACAGTGGGTCAAAGCACTTTGGACCATGAACCTCCAAAGGCAGAAGTCCCTAAAAGCAAAAATGAATAGGAGAGCGTGCCTTGGCGCTTTACACGAGGTCGAATCTGATCCCATAATACAAGTCTCGGTTGGAACAGCAAAATACGAGAGTGCCTACAGGGCTGTTGTGTGGAAGATAGACAGGCTTCCAGATAAAAACTCAAGTAAATAATTGGTGCTATAAAATGATGGGCTTGGGTGCATGTCTTCACTGTTTTCATGCTTGTGTACCTCCACCACCTTCTGTAGTTTGGGTTTCTATCTGTGCGGTGGTATTGGTAGAAGCTGGAGTAACCTTATAGGAAAAAGAGAATGTAGTATTTTTTTTTTTTAAAGAACATTTTCCTAATTTGTTTGCTGGAGGCAGATGTATTATTGTCAGTAATTATAAGCGTGCAGTATCGTGGAAGTGGAGCTCATCATTCTGAGTAGACCTCAGGTCTGTAGTAAGAGGGAAAGGTTTATGCTTCACATATACCAGCTGGGCAATGGTAGGATGGGAAGCAAATGCCAGTAGGTAAAATGATTTTCCCACCCAGTATCACACAGTTAATAGAAAAGGTGGTATTGTGACTGTTGGCTCTTGGCTTTCCAGCATCACTTAAGAAACGGTAGGTATGATACGTAACTAGAAGGTACTGTGGTCAAACTCGCTGTAGGAAGTTGACTGTACCTTTGCAAAGGCTGATATCTATTACCTTTTTTTATGGGTTTGTGCATTGAGATTCTGAGTTCATAGCAATAACTGCGCTGAGCAAAATGCCTCCCGCTTTATTCCCATTTCTCTCTGGTAGTGGTACCTCACTCAAAACTTGAAGCAATAAAACCAGCTAAGTTTATAGTCGTGCAAGTGGAAGCTGTTAATTTTTCACTAAGTAAAACAGTTAATTTACCTTAACTTAATGGAGAAAATACAACTTTTTGGAGAAGGAAAATAGAAATATATGGTTTTAAAATACCAATTTTTAGTCCATTACCAGATTAATACCCCTATATAGTGCTTTTCTTAAGGCATAAAAATTGTTGAGGAATACAGTATTCTGCTTCAAGTTTCAGCAGGGTGAAGGCATTTGATCCTTTGCTTATATACACATTATGTGTATTTGAGGCTTCGGCAATGTGTGAGACAAGGGCATCTCTTAAAGCATTTTGCCTAAAAAAGATCTGTAAAATCTGTACTTTTAAGAAGGGGGTAAGTGTATAGTATTAACAGATGGATTGGCCTAGTCTGGTGGTATCCTAACTGTCTGGACTAACTACCTCTTTAAAATGTCCAGAAAAGATTTAATCTTCTTCAGACCTGGTTTCAGGTATGCTAGTACTAAGTCGAGACATCCACTCCCAGATTCTGAGCTAGATGTGTGTGCAGGTGAGAGTTAATGTTCAAAACTATTAAAAAACTAAAAAAAAAAAAAAAAAGAGTAAAGGCAAAAAAACTTCCCCAGGATATTTTTTTAATTTATTTTTGACTAATTGTAGGTTATATTTAATCTGACCTGTTGTCTAGGTAATTATGACTTTTATTTTTTTCAGTTTGATATTTATTTGAATTCTGATTGATATTTCAGTGATGGAAGTAACAGATCTACAGAAAAACTGAGGCAGGAGCAAATGAAAAGGGACTATTATCCTTAGCCTATATATGAACTAGGTTGCTTTTGGTATCAAAACAGCATTTGAAGCATCCCACATCAGCATGCTAATGTGGCAGTTGTAAGAGTATGAATGACCACGTGGCTACTGGCGGATGAGAGCTAGTGTTTTTACTAAGGATGCGGCATGGAAATACTGGTCCCTCGTGCATGGAAACACTGGTCCCTTAGACATGCAGACTGGGTCTTGGTTAGGCGATGAGGTTTCTCAAACCTCAAGCAATCGTGCCTTTCGATTTCTATTGATGCGCATTGTGGGAGGTGGAGCAGATTCAGAAATGATGTCGTGTTAACGCCATCTCTGTTTTTCCCCTTCTTTTGCTTTGCAAGAAGCTGCGGTCGGCTTGGACCTGTGGTTGATGCCATATGGTTCCTCCTGAATTGGCTGAGCCCTCCCTTTTCCATGCTGCTTGCTGCCTGGGTGTCTCATGCTCTGCTCGGAGGGGATGCCAGTGGCTGCCAAGCAAAGGGCAGTGGGAGAGCAGCGGAGACTCAGCATCGGCAGACGGGCTGACACAA